CTACTCAATTCACTTTGAGTCGGGTCGGTTCTGCTCAATGTCAGTGTGTCTCCACGCAGTGGGTGTGATAATGTGCTGACCGGCCGCAGCGGCTTCAACTGTTGTGTTAAAAAAATTAATAAAATAAAATATAAAAAGCCATTGTTGTCTTACCGTTCGGACTTAACTTTTATTTATTTATTTATTTATTTATTTATTTATTTATTTATTTATTTATTTATTTATTTATTTATTTATTTATTTATTTATTTATTTATTTATTTATTTATTTTCACGGTGCTGTTTAGTGCTAAGTGCTTGTGTGACCATGCGGCCAGTTTGTTGAAAACCTCCCATGATCTGCTCAGCTTTGTCTCCTTCACCTCTCTCCAGGAAGTGTTTACAAGTTCTGCCTTTTTCAAAAAGGCAGTTTTATTTCACCATGTTGTCATATCGCACCGCGCACTCATATTAAACAAAAGCAGCTCTCTCCAGGAGGAAATTTGCTGTCAGTCAATCCAAGAGTTAATCCACGGGCAGAATTCTGCTGACGTTAAAATCATAAGCGTGCTGTACTCGCTTCTACCCGAACCACCGGAGAGGAGGTTCTGAGACAGCGCGGCTGTGGAGCCCGCTTGTAGAGGCGCATTGGGCAGAGACCGAGCCGAGTCGAACCGCAAACAAGAGAGTCCATGGAGATTGTGTGCAGAGGCTGTCACTGTTAACAGTGAACACCAGAGGGTGCAAACTAACAGCTTTATTTGAGGCACTGAAATAAAGCACCGAAATTAGAGTTGTGTTTCGATATGTGTACTACCATGGATGTTCACCCYGGTGCCGTGCTGGAACCGAGTTTCGGTACTCAACCCTATTTGTTTGTCAATCATTTTTGTTCAGAAAATTTTCTTTGTTCAAATAAGTTCATGTGTAATAAAATAGGTGAGCAGCCTAGGCATGCTAGTTGCTAGCCTCTCCAATGCTAACGCAAATGAATAGTCCCCTCATTTGCCAGTGCCAGCCTTTCAGTTACCAGGACCAGCTTTTCAGTTATTGGTGCCGGCCTATCAGTAATCAGATCAATAGCTGGCTTTGGACTAGAAACAGCCTCCTGCTGCAAGGATGTATCAACCGCTTGTTGCACACTAGTCTTAATTTTGGCTCTCATACTGCGCCATATCTTGCCATATCATGATGAGAATTTCAGCTTTCTCTTAAAAAGTCCCAGAATGCTGAGCTCGCTAACACCCAAGCTTCAGTACAATTCAGTTACACTCGAACTGTTCGTTTTAAAATCTGGAAATAATGTTTTTAACTTGTCATATCTCCTACAGAAAACATAGTAGAAACATAAAAATTCACATTTTTTCTACCACCTTAAAAGTTTTTAAAATACAGCATAGCTTTTGCAGAGTGGCTGTTTGTTTGAGACTTATTTTTCTGTCTGCCCCTTAACTCTGCAGTTGAGAACTGACAGACATATTTAAGTGGTTGCCATGGTGGTCCCATTGAGTGCTGTCATTTATTTGATCTTGGGTCTCTTTGCACTTTTTTATAATTCATACATCAAAATGTTGACATATTTTTCTTACCTTCGATTATTACTGTTAAAGTGAAATTCAGRCAGTAGCTACATTTCTACAGAAGTTTTCTAGGATGATTATTAACATTTTGGCTTCTAAAAGGTAGATTTAGTTCATTGCTTCTGACTTTGATTGACATTGTAATGAAACAGACGAGGAGGGCTGGCAGACAGGTGATGGACGTCATTCAAAAACACAACAATTAGCCCACAGAGCAAAAATAGAGGTGAAATTAGGTGGAAAAATTAGCTTGTCGTTGCTTCTTCTCAAAGTACAGTGATACTGCTGCATGTGCTCGAGTGAAATGGATGCAAAAACCTCCCAGGCCGTTTGTGGAGGCTGAAAGCTGCTACAAAAAGCAGCCATTTCTCAGAAAATCATTTTATCTGAAGATATAAACATTTTTAACATTTTAACCTCAGAAACACATGAATGAAAGGATACATTTGTGTAGAAAGGAGCATGATAAACAGTATAAATGTTAGTCCTGAAAATGTTACAGTTTAATGCGTTCAAACTCAAGGCCGGTGGGCCAGATATAGTCCTTGTTACCATTTTATCTGGTCCATGAAAAAATAATTGTATTAAATCTGTGACAGATCCAGTCTTTTCAATTTCAAACTTTGTCTAAAAAAACTGACATGTTTTGTGCAGACAAATGATTCTTAACTTTGCTAACTTTGTGATCAATAAAAATAATATGTGATAGTTAAAATGATAACGCAAAGAAAATATATCTTATCTTTTTWAATTTATTCTTTTTTCTTTATCCAAGTTTTATTTGTTTTAAATTTTACCTGTTTTATGAAAAATGGGAATTAACTCAACCATATTTAAAAATGAATAAATATTATGTAAAAAATGTTGGGACATTGTGTAAAAAGTAAATAAAACGGAATATGATTTATTTATTCACAATAATAGAACACTGTAAACATGTTTTTTGAAAATAAAACAAAACTAAACTTTTAGCTGCTGTCTTTATGAATGTAGCTTTTAGCTACCCTCTTACTGAAATGAACATTTTCTACACTTTCTTGCCAATTAAATCTTTTAGCCACTGTCTTGCTGATTTTAACTTTTAGGTACTTTTTTCCATTGATTTTAACAGTGTAGCTTTCCACTTAAAGTTTTCTTTTGTTAATGTTTTCCCTTTTTTAGCTCCTACATTTTTGCCGGTTTTAGCTTAATTTTTTTAAATTGTAGCTTTTGGCTATTTTTGTTTTTGTTTTCAGCTACTTTACTGCTAATGTTTAACTTTTAAATACAGTTAGCTATTTTTTAGCTTTTAGCTTCAATTTTGCTAGATTCAGTTTTAAAGGGGCAATATCATGTAAAATCAACTTTTTTGAGTTTTTTTATCATGTTGTAATGTTAGACTCTCATAAAAAACATGCCCAAAGCCTTGCTTTGACTCATTCATGCATGTTTGAAAAATCCTGCAGCGTTTTTAGGAAGCCATGCTGAGGAGCAAAACGACAGGTGGGGACCAGAAATACCTTTTGGGACCAGAAACGCCCCTGGGACGTGTCTTTAAGCCGAACTTCCTTATGGCAGAGTGCCCCCACACCCACACACCCCGCCCATGACTCCTGCAGGCTCTCGGTTGAAACTGAAAATGAAACAACTGTCTGCTGAGCTCTCTACATTAGTTCTCAGTGAAGCTCTTCTCAGATTAAAAATACCTTTGACGAAATGTATTTTCAGATGCCAAGTAAACTGCATCATAGTGCAATGTTATGATTGTTAGAAGTAGAGCAGATAAGCATCTGATAACCCCTGACTTCTCTTTATCTGGCATTGTCCTCAATATTTGCAATGAAATTAAAATTTGGGACACTATATAACTGATGACCTGTCTGATGATCGTGACATCTGTAGACAGTATTGTATGATGTATGCACAGGCTAATATTCTGATCAGAAAGTTTGGTATGTGCTCATCCTCTGTGAAGATAGCTCTTCTTAAAGCTTTTTGTACTTCACTCTACACAGCCCATCTGTGGCGAAGATACAAAAAAAGTAGCCTGCAGAAACTTTATGTGGCATACAATGATGGCATGAGGCTACTACTCAGAGTGCCTAGATGGAGCAGTCTAGCCACATGTTTGTACATAATGCTGTCCCCACATGCGCAGCTGTGCTCAGGAACCTCATGTATAAATGCATGTCTAGGTTATCTGTGTCATGCAATAATGTAATTGCAATTTTAGTAAATCCTGTTTTTAGTACA